TTTACGTACATTTAAGGGTAGTAGGGGGACCACAGGGGATATTTGTGGGGGAGTTTGTTGTGAGGGAAAAGGAATCCAAGGTAAAGGGGGGGGGGGGGGCGGGGGGAGGGCCGGGGGGAGGGCTGGGGGGAGGGGGAGCGGGAGCGATGCAATGGGAAGGAGGAGAGGAGAGAGAGGGAGAGACGGACACACTGATCTTCTCGTATCCCCTGCTTCCCCGCAAGCAGCAGGCTCACACAGACGATGCTCCTACAGCTCAACTAGGAACGCTGGCGAAGTTGAGACCAGACATGTTTCGCTCTCTGTTCTCGTCTGTTCTCGCCTCGCCTCCTTCCCTTTCGCTTCTCGCTAGCTGTACTGTCTCCCCGACAATCCTTGCCTCCCTGTCTCGGACAGCAGCAGCATCGACTCTGGCGCGGCACGACAGGGGGAGGCACATATCTTATGTGCAGTCGAGGAAACCAGTGAGAGATGGGGGAGGAGCGGAGGGAGCGAAGGAGGAGGATGCGAGAAGATGGAGGAGAAAATGGGTTCCCGTTGGAAACGAGATCGAGGAGGAGCAGCTGAGAGAAAGCAAGACGGAGTTTGACGTCTGACTCCTACTCAACTGTCACGCCTGACAGTGACTTACATTGCTGTCAGGAACTATCACAGAGTCTGTCGGCCTTGCAGGATCGGATTGAAGGGAAGCTGAGAATATGAGGGAGTCATGATGATTGAGCTCCGAGGCTCTGTGACCATGATGACTGGATGACGAGAGGACGTAACAGTACATGGAGGAGGTTGAATCAGATAGGCAATAGAGCAAAACCGCTGCTGTTTACTTCCATGCGGCCAAGGCTGATCCTTCATGCAAACGCCTTGTTCTCCTGGTTGAGAGATGTTGATAGTTGTGAGAACGACTGACGCACGAGGAGGATCTGCGAGAAATTCACTCAGACGTTCCACCGCTTTCATATCATCACCTTTCGGAGCTTCTCTTGTGCGACCTTCAAGCTTTCTTCAGTCTGACTGCAAGTCTTTGCCTGTATAAAATCAGAGGTCAGTAACAAAGATGTCATCGGCAAGAATGAGGAGAAGGTGTTATGCAGCACTCACCAAGTCCGAGGAGTGATTCTGGTCGTTGTGCACCCATTTCACGACATCGATGTCGTCGGAGCTTCTGCAGACGTCGTGAAAAGCGTTGTCCAAAGCAGTGAGCAGCTCTTGATGTTTGCTGGATTCCATCGTGAAATGAGGAGACAGAAATTTCCCCTGGATCCTCGATTTGATGTCTGCTGCTGGAAGCTGGTGAAACAGTCGGACGTGCTCGCTCACAACAAACGTGTTTTCTGTTCTCTTCTGCACTGCGCTCTTGGAGACAAGGTCCTCATAAAGTGCATTCAACGCACGAGAAGAATTGTGTAGTTCGCACTCCAACAGGGAGGCGTGACTGTCGGCATAGGAGTCTACACGGTCAACGAGAGAAAAGAGCATTCCGTCCATCCTGTCCTGCTTGGCCTGATGAAACGATCAGTGACATGCTGACCTGCCACAAAAAAGCTTCTAGGTCCTGGACAGAGAAGGAGCCAGTTGACCACGGAGCATGCACTGCTCTAAAGTTCTGTCTGTCTGTCTGTCTGTCTGTCTGTCTGTCTGTCTCTGTCTCTGTCTCTGTCTCTGTCTCTGTCTCTGTCTCTGTCTCTGTCCCCTTCGTCTCTCATGGACATTGAACATCGTCAGCTCACCTGCATTCCTAGATCCTCCGCCGCCCTCACCATCTCACCCGCCATTTCGAAATCCTTTCCCCAGGCTTGCCTCATCGCCCTCATACACCTATTTCTCAAGCCCGCCTCAAAGCTATGGTTTGAATCGATCGCGGACTGATCTGATCTGATTTTAATCGAATTTTCTGTAAAATTGTGACTTAAATCGAATGATCTTTTGATTTTGTTATTCCTGGGGAGTGTGACAAGACATGGGGGAAGACAGCAAAGCAAGCGAATGCGAGGAGACGACATGGAGAGAACGATGAGGACGATGAGGACGATGAGGACGATGAGGACGATGAGGACGATGAGGACGATGAGGACGATGAGGACGATGAGGACGATGAGGACGATGAGGAAGGAAAAGGAGGTTGTGAGATATGCGAGATGGTGCATGAGAGAGAATGGGCGAAGATCTGACGATTGCATCTGACTGACCGCGTGAATTTTAGATGGGCCAGTCGTTCTGCAGTCCTCAGGGGGGGCTTCCAAAGAAGTCTCACACCCTCGCAGATGCCATGCAGTCTCTCAAGAAGGCTGCCAGACCCAAGGACGGGATGGCGCCTTCCGTTGCTGAGTGGTACGAGGAGGTGCACAGCATCCTATCGCAGGTGGAGAAACAGCGCGAGGGAATCAGCGGAGTGGACTTGGAGGACATGGGCAGGATGTGTAAGATCACCATAGCGACGACAAAGGGGGTGACATACTGGGTGAAAGAGGTTGTTCAACTCTGTGCATGCGAGTTGTTCCTGATGATCTGGACAGATCAACGAGCAGATGCAGCATGGTGTCGATGGGAGCGTGATCGCCAAGGCATCGGCGGCGCGGCTGGAAAGGAGCTTGAGACCGTAAGTTCAGGATTGGAGGTGTTGTTTCCTGAGGCTCTGCTGACCTGCCTCCTTAGGTATGTTGACTGCCTGAAGAACTTCAGGAAGGACTTCATCGACTCGCCGTTTGACTCGTTGGCCTACTACATGATGGCGATGCGAGAGCCGTAAGGGGAGGAGGTTGTGCCACGCGGAGAGTGAGGGGCGAGATGCAGGTTCAAGGACTACATGCGATGGGTAGACCCTAACCTCAAGGACGTCGATGACAAGGTCCGAGAGGAGATGGCAAGGTACTTTCATGTTCGCTTCCCTCCCCCCTGCTCACTTGGACGCAGCTTTCATGGCAGCCCCAACCAGCCGATCTGGGTTGTGCAGAAAGAGGAAGGAAACAGGCTCAACGTCAATGTAACGAGGCCTCTCTCGCTGTACTGCGATGGCAACTTCGTAGGAGAAGTTATTGCCCATGACTATCACAGGAAAGTATCAGAGCGTATGTAGAAACTAGATCCCTTCTCTCCTCCATCCTCGTCGCGTCAAAGCTTCGTCTTTTTCCCGTGAACCCTCCTTGTCAAGTAGTTTTCCCACTGCCTTCGCTTTGTCGTGAGCTTTAATAGAACAGTTTCGATGTCACTAGAAGGGTACACCCCTCCCCGATGACGTGGGCAGATCCTCAGACTTGAGCGCCAGCAGGAACTCCCCCAGCTGCATCTCCTCCTCCTCGTCCTTGATCGCACCAAATGAATTCAAACTTCCTTGTCTTGTCGTGAGCGACCTTGTCGGTAGTTTCTGTGTCTACACTGGATGAGCGCAGTAGGAAGAAAGTGCTGCAGCAGATCTCACCGTTTCCTCTGGCCCAGCCTTGCGCACGTCAGTCGACGTGACAGGATCCGAAGGTTTGCGCGAAGACTCTGTGCGGGGTGATGAGAGCATGGCAGGGAGGAGAGGCAAGGCAACAAGCCATCTCACTTTCGTGTTCGTTCTGGTCGATTCCTCGCTGACGTGGCAGCGTTGAGTCCGAGTGTCTCTTGCTCGGTTTGCTGGTTGCTGGTAGTCCCGGAAGCTCCAGACCCTCGTCTGTCAGAGCTTCTTCAGGCGGAACTCCAGTGCTCGGCGTGTATCGGCTCGGCTGCTTGACGTGAGAAGCTGAAGAGTCTGCTCAGTCAACAAGAAGAATGCTCGAAGGGGATGAGACCGCTCTGCAGCAGGAAGTCTGCAGCCGCCCTCAGGTTCGCCGCATGGAACGATATCTCGCTGTCCATGGAGCCGAAGGATGTGAAGTGCTGCCATGCTTGTGAGGGACAGGAAGACAACTATAGAGATCCTCCACTTCACCTGCAGCAACTCGGCGTTCGAGTAGATGCATCTCGGTGAGGCCTGCACGAGAGCGAAGATGAAGAGCGGGAGCAGGTCGTCTGATCCGATCTTCGTCTGCTCTGGCACTCGTCCCTTCTCGATGGCCTCCAGCACAGACTGGCACAAGTGAGAAGCACCACGGAACGCTCTCCATAACTCACCGCGTGGATGGCGTTGGTCACGTCCTTGAGTGTAGAGGCCTGCATCGCGCATGTGACAAACAGGTGGGGGGCATTGCTCAGCACCTTGTCCAGAGCACAGGGAAGCTTCTGAAAGTCCCGCAGAAGCTTGACGGGTCCAGCGAAGTCGCACTTCTCTAGCACCGGGTCAGCACCGAAGTCCTTCACTGAGTCGCTTTTCAGCAGAGTGATGGCCCTTTCGATCCCTGCGAGGGTTCCGTCAGGTTCAGCATGCTAGTCGGGGCTCATACGTGCGTCCTCCTCCTTGTACGCATCTCTCAGACGTAGGTAGAGCTTCTCGTGCGCATTCACGACGTCCTCCGAATCTCTCGACACCCCTACCTCCTGATCCCTGCGGGCTCAAAAGTCAGCAGCAGCGGCTGGAGGAGTTCGAGCTCTGTTACTTGCGAGCCAGCTTCGTGTCCTCCATCAGCACAACCTCGACGCTCCGTCGGAACATGCTCCACTTCTTGCCCCCCCTGCTGTAGTCCTCCAGCCGGTCGCGGTTGCTGCGGATCAATTCATCCGCCACCTGATCGAAGAGCGAGCACAGCTTCGGCGTCACGTGCCCCAGGTACCCCTTGGCGAAGATCCGGTAGGTGTGGAAGAACTCTCGGATGGACGTCTTGGCTCTTGTCATGGGCGAGATGTCGACGAGATGAAGAGCGTACAGGAAGGTCTTGCACTGTTCCATAGTGTCAACCTGCGCCTGAGCATCCTTTCCCCTCTTCCTGTCCTCGAGCGGACGCACACCTCCTTGAAGGGGCTGGCTGATGCAGACGACACGGAAGGGCTTGAAGTTCTCGTTGTAATGGAGCTCCTCAAAGAGGATTCGAACTCTCCTGTTGTCAAGGAACCCGGACCGTGTTTCTAGCATCCCTTCCTCCACCTCCACCGTCTTCCCGTTCATAGACTCGTAGAGCCCCGCAAAGAAGGGCGAAGGCTTCAGCAGATGCGTCTCTAGAGTGGTACGATTGAGCGGGAGGCCCTGGGAGGATGCAGCGCAGGGGATGCAGACAAGAAGTTGCTCGTCTGCTGCTCGTCTGTACAGGTCAGGCGCTTTCAACTTGAGCGTCACCATCACAGGGTTGACCTCAAGGTCCTCGTCCTCGTTGCTGATCATCTTCAGTGTGACAGGTCAGCAGTGCATCTGAGAAGTCTGCCCCTCAAGCTCTTTTCCGAGGTTTTCGGATCGCTCGTGACCTTGGCTCCACTCCTGTGGATCCTTCTTCCTTCTTCCTTCCCCGGGCACTCTCCCTCCTAGTATCGTGCAGAGCTCTTCACCCTAGACATGCCGAGTAGCTCATCACCGTCATGGCTCTCCCCTCCCTCCCTCTCCTCCCCCACCATCTTCGCTCTCCCCCGCCACGTCATTGCTCCCATGGCTCGCACGAAACCATGGAAATTCCCGTGAGCCCTCCTCCCCCCTCAATCCCTGGTTCAATTTCATTACCCTCATCCCCGCTTCTTCAATTCTGATATGCATTCATCGCCCTCGTTCCCCAGGATTTCTTTCAGTGTCGTCACGATGGGCGACGATCGGTACGAGCATGTGGGGGAGGAGGAGGAGGAGGAGGGGAAGCGGGGGGAGAGAGGGAAGGAGAGATGGAGATGTGGAGGAGGAGGAGGAGGAGGGAGGGAGGGAGGGATGGAGATGCGGGGGCGGAGGAGGAGGGAGGGAGGGAGGGATGGAGATGTGGGGGAGGAGGAGGAGTGAGTGAGGGAGGGAGGGAGGGATGAAGATGTTGGGGAGGAGGAGGAGGGAGGGAGGGAGGGATGGAGATGTTGGGGAGGAGGAGGAGAGAGGGAGGGATGGATGGAGGCAAGGAGTGTAGGGAGCCTTTGATGACGGACCCATGGGCAACAAGTAGAGGGGTGATCAAGTTTTGGATGATAGTTTGACCAACGTCTGCCAGGACTGTGCACTTGAAGGACTATGCTCCTTACCCCTTCCTCCTCCACGATGTCTTTCTCACCTTCGAGCTTCACCCAGAGAACACTCGGGTAGAGTCCAGGCTGCAGTTCGAGCACAGCACCAAGGACCGGGACTCCATCGACCTCTACGGGGAGGCCTTGGAGCTTGTTTCCGTCTCCCTCAACGGCAAGGCCCTTGCTGCGGAGGAAGGGTACGTCATCGTCAAGGACAGCAAAGTGGTGGGGGATGTTCTTCGGATCAAGCACCTCCCTCCCCAGACGTTCACCCTCGAGATAGTGACCAAGATCTCGCCGGCCACCAACACCACCTGCGAGGGCCTCTACCAGTCGAGCGGGAACTTCTGCACGCAGTGTGAGGCGGAGGGCTTTCGGCGGATGACTTTCTTCCCCGACCGCCCGGACGTTATGTCCAAGTACACGACGAGAATCGTTGCTGACAAGTCGACCAACCCTGTCCTCCTGTCCAACGGGAACCTGATCGCCCAGGAGGAGCTTGGAGACGGCAAGCACTCTGCGACATGGCAGGACCCGTTCCCGAAGCCCAGCTATCTCTTCGCTCTTGTTGCTGGGAAGCTCGTTGCCCTCGAGGACGCATTCACGACCTGCTCGGGGAAGAAGGTGGACCTGAAGATCTGGACGACGGACAAGAACAAGGACAAGGTGGGATGGGCAATGGAGTCGCTCAAGCGCGCGATGAAGTGGGATGAAGATCGCTGGGGGAGGGAGTACGACCTGAACATCTTCAACATCGTCGTGGTATCTCTCTCTTCTTCTCCTCGCTCCTCTTGCGCCAGAGGAAGCGGCTTCTGAGGTGACTGGGTTGCAGGTGGACGACTTCAACATGGGGGCCATGGAGAACAAGTCGCTCAACGTCTTCAACTCCCGCCTGGTCCTCGCCACGCCTGAGACTGCCACCGACTCCGACTACATCCACATCCAGGGTGTCATCGGGCACGAGTACTTCCACAACTGGACGGGCAACCGTGTGACCTGCCGGGACTGGTTCCAGCTGTCGCTCAAGGAGGGGCTGACGGTCTTCCGCGACCAGGAGTTCACCTCGGACCTCAACTCCCGGCTCGTCAAGAGGATCGAGGACGTGCAGTTCCTGCGGCAGAACCAGTACCCCGAGGACGCCGGCGCCATGGCGCATCCCGTCAGGCCTCCTTCCTACGAGGCGATCGACAACTTCTACTCCTGCACCGTCTACGAGAAGGGAGCTGAGATCATCCGTATGTACGAAACCCTGCTGGGGAAAGAGGGGTTCCGCAAGGGGCTGGACCTCTACTTTGAGGTGAGTGGGGTTGTCAGCTGGAAACTGCTCTTGACTATGTTGGCAGCGTCATGACGGTCAGGCGGTAACGTGCGACGACTTCTACAGGGCCATGATGGATGCGAACGGGTACGACGGGCGCAACTTGTTCCTCTGGTACCAGCAGGCAGGAACCCCGACCGTGGAGTTGAGCTCTCAGTACGACGAGGACAAGAAGACGCTGACGGTGAGGATGGAGCAGCAGCTGCCTGCCACCGCGGACACCAGCGAAGAGAAGCAGCCGATGTTGATCCCCGTAGCTCTGGGCCTGCTGGACTCCTCGGGCAAGGAGATGGCGCTGGGCCGCATGTCGGAGGACGGTGCCGAGGCGGTGGACCTGGGAGGAGTGACGACGACGGTGATCCGGCTCATGAGAAAGCAGCAGACGTTTGTGTTCGAGGGCATCCCTTCCCGCCCCGTGCTCTCCATCCTCCGGGGATTCTCCGCCCCTGTCAAGATCCGCTCCGACAGGACGGAGCAGGACCTGATGCTCCTCCTCTCCTACGACTCTGACGCGTACAACCGATGGGACTCAGCGCAGACGCTCGCCAAGGAGGAGATCCTCAAGGCCTGGAGGGCCGGGGCCGGGAAAGCCGAGCTACGAGCTGAGTTCATCGGTCTCTTGTTGGCTCCGCTTCCCTCCCAGCCTCCCTGACCATCCCGGCAGATGCTTTCCGCAAGGTGGTGGCCGACAAGAATGCCGACAAGCATTTCATCTCTCAGGTGCATCCCATCCCCTCTTCTTCTTCCTTTTCACGCGGCCTCATCCCTTTGTTTTTTTCCTGCCCTTCTCCCCTCCGTACTTCTCCTCCAGCTCTGACTCCAGCTTGCAGGTTCTGTCGTTTCCCTCCGTGTCAGAGCTCCTTGAAGAGGTCGGAAGCACAGGTCCAGCTGCTGTCGACCTGAAGAGCCAGCCGTAATCCCTTCTGCCAGATCCCACAGCGGTGTTTGCTGCCAGGAATGCCGTTGAGAAGTCTCTTGCGGAAGCTCTGGAGCGAGAGATGTTGGAGGTGTTCACCAGCAACCGTTCGAGCGAAGCATACAAAGTGGTGAGCCAAAGGATGTCGTGTAGAAGAGGGGAGCGAGCACAGGAGGAGGAGAGGAGGGGGAGAGGAGAGGGAGAAATACCAGAAATGGTAATGTTTTCACAGGATAACGAGGGCATCGGACGCCGTGCTCTCATGCTGACTGCGCTGAGATTCTTAAGTTCCTTGAACAAGCCAGGTGAGGGTGCCAGGAGTCGCTGCAAAGAAGGGAGAGGAGGAAGGGACGGAGGGTTTGGTGGAGCAGGAGGAGGACGGAAAGGGACCCAAATCCGATGACGCATCTCACATGAAGTTGTTGCAGAGCATAACGAACGAGCCCTGAAAGCGTTCAAGGAAGCAAACAACATGACAGAACAAGTAGATTGCGTGCGATGGATGTTGGCTGAGCAGCTGACTGAGCGACACCTCCTTTTCCTCTCCTTCTCCCCTTGCCCTTCACTGATTCTCCTTTCCTCCTGCCATTTGTCTCTCTGTCTTCCTTGCTCCAGGTCGGAGCTCTTCGATGCCTGTGCAAGAACGACAACGAGCTGTCGAGGAAAGCTCTGGAGGATTTTTACCAGCAGGTGGATCAGAGAGGATTCGAGGCAGCATGGAGGAGACAAGGGAGGGCAGGTCGAGGAAGAAGGCCAGGGGGAGGGAGGGGAAGTAAGAAAATGCATAGAAAATAGGAGAAAAGAGGAGGAGAGTGAGGAGGAGGAAAGGGGAGAGGGAGAAACAAGAAAGGAAGGGAAGAGAGACGGAGGAGGAGGACGAAACAGTCTTTGATTTGGCATGCAGTGGAAGCACGACGATCTCGTCCTCTGCCAGTGGCTCAGGATTCAGGCGCAAATGGAAACACCCAACAACCTTGACAAGGTATGAATAGCAGCCATTCTGTTGCTGCTGCTGCTGCTGCTGCTGCTGCTGCTGCTGCTGCTGCTGCTGCTGCTGCTGCTGCTGCTGCTGCTGCTGCTGCTGCTGCTGCTGCTGCTGCTGCTGCTGCTGCTGCTGCTGCTGCTGCTGCTGCTGCTGCTGCTGCTGCTGCTGCTGCTGCTGCTGCTGCTGCTGCTGCTGCTGCTGCTGCTGCTGCTGCTGCTCCTTCTCCTGCTCCTTCTCATATACATTGTCCTCCTCTTTTTTGTCTCCCCCTTTCCCTTTTTTTGTTCTCCTTGTCTCACTTCTGGTCTCACTCGCACTCTCAAGGTGCGGCGCCTGCTTGATCACGAGGCGTTCGACTTGAAGAACCCCAACAAGATTTATTCTCTCATCCTCGCCTTCTCTCGCACTTACAGTGAGTATCATCTCCTCCCTCTTGTCCTAGTTCTCCTCTTTCCATCTTTGCTTCCGCCGCAACTTACTTCTCCACCCTTTGGTTTCGATGCCTTGCTCCTTTGCCCTCTCTCCCCTCCCCTCAGCCATACCTCACCATCTCCCTCCTTGACTCAAAGTTGCCTCCCCTCTCCCTCGCTCCCTCTCTGTCTGTCTGTTCGTCTCACTTCATCTCTGCAGCAAACTTCCATGCCATCGATGGCTCGGGCTACAGCTTCATCACCGACTGCATCCTCAAGGTAACTTCATCTCCTTCCTTCCTCCCGTCACCATTTCCTGCTCCGCTCCAGCTGGACAAGAGCAATCCGCAAGTTGCCTCGGCCTGCACGGAGTGCTTCACGAGCCTCCGAATGTACGACGATGTCCGCCAGCAGCTCCTCACCGCGCAGCTCCAACGGCTGGTACGATCCGCTCCCTGCCCCTCCACCGCCAGTCCAGCTGACGATGAGCAGGCCAAGGAGGAGAACTTGTCCGGCAACGTGAGCGAGATCGTACACAAGTGCCTCAAGTCAGGAGGTGGCGCTAGCAAGTAGAGCAAGACCTCTCCTCACACCCCTTTATTTACACCCTCCTTGGTCCCTCCCTCCTTCCTCCTCCTCCTTCCTCCTCCTCCTTCCTCCCTCTCCCGCTTTCCCCTCCCCTCCCACTGAGACTTCACTCCTTGGGGAGTCTCGCCCTCCACCACTGGAAGTAGCTGTCGAAGAGGCTGGGCCAGGGATCGTCCTCACTGTAGCCCGAGAACTCTTGGTCGATCTCCCTGCCGCCTCACCGTCACCTCCCGCGCAGCCATCGGCTTCTCACCTTGAGAACTGCAGGAAGCTCCGCCATTGGTCCTTGTTCATGCTGAGGATCTTGTCGTCGGAGTTGAGGAACTCTGAGAAATTTTCCACGTGCGGCGAGACCTTCCCCGGGAGCCCCTTCCACATGGCCTGCAGCACAAGTGAGCCACACGCCCTCGGAGCTGGAGGGTTTGCTGACCTGCAGCGCAAGGATAGCCATGTCCTTCTCTACATATTTCTTCCCTTCGGCCTGGAGGATCTCGAAGACGTAGGGGTACAAGATCTCGAAGTTCTTGGCAGCCTCCCTCAGCATCTCCTTTTTTTTGGCCTTGAAGTCGTCGACGTGCCAGCACCTCAGCGACTCGGATACCCGCACGAAGCAGTCCTGGTCGAGGTGACCAAACCGGGTACACCCCATCTTGTAGCAGAGGAAGAAGAGAAATGCCGTGTGCTCAGGCGAGGATGCTTCCTCGTCACTTGCAGAGAGGTCTTGACCGAGTCTGATGAAGCCCTCGAGATCCATCTCGGTCTCGTTCTTCGAGTACGTTCGGAAAAGTTCTCTAAGGGCGTTGCTCTTCCGTTTCTTTGGTGAGACCTCAGGCACCCTCTCTACTGCAACATCGTCGGCTCCCCTTTCTCGCTTCATACCTTCTCCTCCTCTCCTTCCTCCTCTCTCTCTTCCTCCTCCTCCTCCTCCTCCTCCATCCCCCCCTCCCACTCCTCCCCTTCCCCGACCTCGTCCTTGCTTGCCCTGCATGCCTGCAAAATCACCGTACTGTCACTCCTCCGACCCCACCCTCCATTTTTCAGCCCACCCCTCCTTACCAGCAAGTTTTACTATGTATACTACCCCTCCTTCAAAGGCTTACTGGTCTAACTCAATACCCCCCTACCCCTGTTTTCCTAGCATCCGTGACAAACACTCTATCCGTATCCGTGAATATCCGTGAGTTCCCGGATACATTCCGGATACCTTCACGTGCTGTGCTGGAATGGTGTCGAGAGAAACGAGTGAGGGAGGCCGAGCATGCGATCAGGAGGGGTGGGGAAAGGAGAGGAGGGGAGGAGGAGAGCAGGAGAGGAGGAGAGGAGGAGAGCAGGAGAGGAGGAGAGGAGGAGGAGGAGGAGAGGAGGAGGAGGAGGAGAGGAGGAGAGGAGGAGGAGGAGGAGGAGGAGGAGAGGAGGAGAGGAGAGGAGGAGAGGAGGAGGAGAGGAGGAGAGGAGGAGAGGA